GGGATCCTACTATACTTTAAGGTAGATTCCTTAATTAAGGGATATTGGAGCCTCTGGGCTTGATCATACCCTAAACCCGAAGCCCTAAAGCCCTAAAGCCCTAAAGCCTAAGCCCCAAAGCCCTAAACCCTGAACCCAAAAAACCCAAAACCCTGAAGAAACACACCTAGACCCCGACACCCTGAACCCTCCATCTTCAGCCTACCTAAACCCCCCAAAAGTAGGTAGAATAGCTTAGGGTTTAGGGCTTAGGGCTGAGGGAAAATAACCTTGATTCTAAACATGTTTGGGGCCCAGGTGATCACCAGCATGTAGAAGTTGTAGAAGCATCAAATGCGTTGGGCCAGTGGGTGATTTGCGATGTCTGCCTAAACAACCCTTTACCCGCAAGCCTCAAACTTAACAACCGTGAACCTTACCACACTGACCCTACTTTAGGGTTTAGGGTTTAGGCTAAACCCTAAATCCCTAAACCCAAACCCCCTAAACCCTAAACCCCTAAACCCCTAAACCCCTAAACCCCTAAACCCCTAAATCCCTAAACCCCTAAACCCCTAAACCCGCAAACCCGTAAGCCCAATGTCCAGGCTGTCAAACGAGCCAGCCCCACCCCGCTCGAGAGCAGAACTGTACAGCGATCGTCGGTTTGAAATTGTTGGACCAAGGCCTTTGTAGGGTTCAGGGTTTAGGGTTTGGGCTGGAGGATTTCGGGTTTAGGGTTTAGGGTTTGGGGTTTAGGGGTTTAGGGCTGGAGAGGCAAGGGTTTTAGGGTGTTGGGGGTTCAGAGGTTAGGGCTCGTGGCTTAGAGAGTCTTGGGGGGGGTTTTGAGCTACAGCCTTTCGGTCCACGTGCGTTTTGGGCTTTAGGCTCGGCCGTCGAACATAAGGCGTGAACCTTTCTGTGGCTTCTGCAAGGATTGCTAGGATCAGGCTTTTAGGGGTGTTTAGGGGTTTCAGGGTTTCGGGTCTTCTAGAAACCTAAAGACTTCTAGCAGGACCTGTTGGTAGAAGGGCTCTCAAGATGGACCCCAGAACGGCTCCTAAACCCTAGACCCTAAACCCCTAAACCCTAAACCCCTAAACCCTAAACCCTAAACCCCCTAAACCCCAAACCCCCTAAACCCCCCTAAGCCCCAAACCCCAAGCCCTTGGGAATATCGGGTGAATTCTCCGACTTTCGGGCCTGGTGTTGAGGCTTGCAGGGCTCCTGCAGCAGGATCTCGGAACAAGCCCTTCTTCTACACCTAATGTCGCGCCCTTGATAATCAGAATAGGGTTTTGAGCTCTTTTAAAATAAATTGAAATAAGGAACCCTAAGGAATAAAATTGGTAATTATTTAGGCCCCTGTATTACTTGCAAGCACGATGGTAGCAACTACAACCATTGTGGTAACTACCTTAACGCTCAGTGAACCCTTTGTCACACTTTAGTTATTTTCGCCCTAAGCAATGGGCTAGGAAGCATGAATCCTAAACCCAAAAACCCCCTTCAATCTCTGGCATGGATGGCCCTTGAAAAACGTACCCTTTAAACTGCGCACACAGGCAGTATGCCACGAAACCCGCAACCCGCTGAGCCAACAAAGTACAAGAGCGCAGTACTTCAGAACCCCGGATTTAGGAGCGGCCAGATATCCTGCCTCTCCTGAGTTGCACTCGACCGAAGCCTCTTTATCCTTAAAGCCTAAGAACCCTTTGACTCCGAGGTTGCGGTGGCTTTAGGGTTTTCGGGCTGGACGTGAGGGTGTAAAATGCAGAGTTCGAGTGCGGGTTTTGCGTGTGGGGTCCTGAGGTGTGCGGCTACGGCTGCCGGGTTTGGGGCCGAGTCTAGATTAGGGCGAGGCGCGTCCCTCTGCTTCTGCGAGACGTCGCCCTGCAAGACGAGCCTGACACCACTCTAAGCCGTTACCTTACCCCCTAAACCTAAACCCTAAACCCTAAACCCTAAACCCTAAACCCGAAACCCTAAACCCTAAACCCTAAAAGCCTAACTCCATAACCCAAATGCACAAACACACACACACACACACAAATACTGCACCCACCTTAACCCTCAGCATCTTCCATGTGCCTTGGGTTTGAGGCTCAAACCTATGGCCTCCGTCTATCCAGGCCGACCGTGAACACCAAACTCCTGCTCTTTGGTTTGTGATATGAAGCCCTGTCACCCAGTTTTCTTGAGGGTTTTGGGTTTAGGGTTGAGGGGTTAAGTGTTGTGAAGTGTGGTGCAGGTGCGTGGTCATTCCACAAAGGCAAGAAGCTGAAACGTTGCGAAGTATCAAGGTTCCTCCTATATCATGCAGGGTCACATGCATGTCTCCTGCAAGGCCACTCAATACCTCCCGAAGCTCGACATGGTAGCACAACTGCAAGGATCTACAACTGAAGCAACACATCCTGCATTCTGTGTGCTTGGGAGCCCTTATGCGAAATTAACTCTACCCTACCTGCCATAGATCCTTTGACCCGGATTGAAGCGTAACATCTGTAGAAGGGCCAAACCCTAAACCCCAAAATTGTTAATTGTTAACACCCACACCGCTGGCTAAGCTCTGCATCCGACGCACTAAACCTGCGCCTCAAACCCTTAACCGTAATACCCTAAACCCTTGAAGAACACTTCACGGTTTAGGGTTTAGGGACCTTCAGATTCAAACCCTAAACCCTGAGCCCTCACCCGAGGGACCTTCTTCCGTTGGCCAGGGCTTGCTGCAGGGATTCGGGAACTGAAGATCTCGAATCGTTCAGGGTTGCCGGGTCCAGAATTAGGCCCTGGGCCCTAAAACACAACTTCAACTTTCCCTGAACAAAGTTAAACTTCTATGAGCTTTTTGCAGCTGTTAGATCGGCCCGGGCAACGGCCCAAAATCTCCGCGTCAAGGCGCCGAAGCCCTAAAGCCCGAAGCCCTAAACCCTAAACCCTAAACCCTAAACCCTAAACCCTAAACCCTGAAACCCCTAAAGCCCTAAACCCTAAACCCTAAACCCTAAACCACTAAACCCTCAAACCTAAAAGCCCCAAGAGCCCCAGCTACAGACGGTGAACACAGAGCCAGGTGTTCGGGTTCGGAGTTGCAGCTGCGACTAAACCCTGGTCCTACGACCTACGCTATAGCCCAGAACCCTCTCAAACCCTACAATACCTAATGTCGGGGCCTTAACAATTAGAATAGGGTTTTGGGGCCCATTGTACTATAATTCTAATAAGGAACCCCCAAAATCGTATAGGTAATTATTAAGGCCCCTATATTAAAACCACAACCCTCCCCTTCCCTCAAAAAACCAAACTCAACAAATTCGGGGCCCAGGAGCGGCTGGGTGTTGAAGCGCCGCTGAATCTGCTTAGACAAGACGTCCTGGGCTTAGGGGTTTAGGGGTTTAGGGGTTTAGGGTGTAGGGTTTAGGGGTTTAGGCGTTTAGGGTGTAGGGTTTAAGGATTTAGGGGTTAGGGTGTAGGGTTTGAGGGTTTAGTTTGTAGGGTTCAGAGTTTAGGGGTTTCTTCCAGGTAAGAACGGTTGCATGCGATTAGTTCTCGAAGTTAGGGTCCTTTTTTGGGGTTCTTTTGGGGGGATCTGAAAAGGGACCCCTAACTTAGAGAACTGCCCATATAGTAAGGGTAGGAAGCCCCTAGAAACCCTTATGCCTCCCTTGAGGGGGGGTTTAGGGTTTAGGGTTTAGGGTTTGGGGTTTGGGGACCCTAAGTTACAGAACTACCCATGCGATTTCGCTTCGTTAGCCAAGCTCGGGCCTTAATAATTAGAATACGGTTTTGGGGGGTGTATTATACTATAAATATGATAAGGAACCCCCGAAAACAGCATTGGCAACTATTTAGGCCCCTCTATTACAGGGTTTAGGGTCTTGGGGTTTTGGGGCTTGAGGGGTCTAGGGATTTGTGTTTTAGGGGTTTGGGATTTGGGGCCTAGGGGTTCAGCATTTAGCTTTCGAACCTGCAGGGCGTGTTTTGTTCTTAGGGTTTGGGAATATGGGTAGTTCTCTAAAATAGGGTCCCGTTCTGGGTCCCCAATATAGTACGGCACCCTTAAAAAAGGACCCCCAAAGGGACCCTAGTGTAGAGAACTACCCATATGACTTCCGGAATAAGACTTACTTCAATTCCAAATAGACAGCACCCTGCATGGCTGGGAGAACTTTCCTTATATGTCATAGTAAGACGCTGCATTGAGTTTAATGGGTGCTTTTTCTTCATTCATTATGATAAAGCCTTCCCAGGCTTCATGATTATCCCGGATGCGGCTGGCATAACAGCCTCTGGATGTTCAAAGCTTTGCCGGGGGGAATCCTACCATATTTGGGGTTGCGGTTTACGGTGTGAAGGGCCACATCCTCCCAAACCCCAAACCCTGGCCTGCACCCTAAACCCCCACCCCTAAACCCCTAAATCTCAGACCCTGGACCTTAAACCCTAGACCCTACACCCTAAAACCTTCACCCTAAACCCCTAAACCCTAAACCCCTAAACCCTAAACCCTAAACCCTAGACCCTAAACCCTAAACCCCTAAATAAAACCTAGACCCTAAACCCTAAACCCTAAACCCCTGCCCCCACCTAAACCCGCAAAGAAAGCCAGAGAGGCAATCGCCGAAAGCGAGGTGCAGAAGATGAGCACCTTCCTTGGCGCTTTTTCGGCTTAGGGTTTTAGGGTTGAGGGTTTAAGGTTTAGGGCTTGGGGTTTTAGGGTTTAGGGTTTAGGGTTTAGGGTTTTAGGGTTTCGGGTTTAGGGTGTAGAGTTCAGGGTTTAGGGTTTAGGGTGTAGGGTTTAGGGTTTAGGGTTTCGGGTTTAGGGTTTAGGATGTATTCAACATGACACTGGTACTGTAGGGTCCTAAATAATTACCAGTACTATTTTTTTTTTGGGGGGGGTCCTTATTATAATTCTAGTATGATGTACTTCAATGTTTAGGGCTTGGGGCTTAGGGTTCAGGGGTTTAGGGGTCTCCGTGTTCAGGGGGGTTTAGGGTGCAGGGCACAGAGTTTGAAGGCTTAAGGTTTAGGGGCTAGGGTTTGGGGTTGAGGGTTGAGGGGTTGGGATTCAAGAAGTTTAAGCCTCAGAATCTGGGGCTTAGGGTCCAAGGTTCAAGGTTTAGGGTTTTGGGTTGTTGAATGCTTTTGAGCAGCAATAAACCCTGAAATGTCCCTAAACCCGGAATGCACTAACTCAAAGGCAGGATGCTCATTGTTTGGGAAGATGGTCTCCTCTAACAGTTCGTGGAGCTTCTCGCTCTTGCCACTGGCCTGCGAACATCAGGCCCAGTTGCAAAGGGACAAGGCGTTTCAGGGCTCAGGGTTTTCGGGCTCAGGACTTGCAGGTTGAGGGTTTTGGGTTCAGGGTCTTCCTGAGTGCAACCGAAACCCTGAACCCAAATCCGATAACTTAGGTGTCTTGCGGAGGAAAAAACAAACTAGACTGACTAAAGTTTCTTGTGGGGGTGGGACCCGTCAAAGCCCAAACCCTAAAACCCCAAA